TGAAAGGGTAGGGGTGGGGTTTGGTTTTGTTTCTATTTTCTCTTCTTCCCATGCTCTCCCCATCATGATGGCCTATAATCTCCATCAGCAAGACTGCCAGCCTCAAAAGAAGCTGTTTTGTCCACTTCACTGAGAGAAGAACATGTTAGGTTTTGCTTGTTTGTTTTTTGTTTTCCTTAAATCTTCGCAGCCCTCTTTAATAAACCATCTCCTTTTCCTTTCTGCACTGTTGAAGCTTCAGCCTTGTACATGCAGATAGTATAAAGTGTGAAGGAGGAGCTGGTAACTCAGTGAGCTCCCTGCTGTTCAGAGGACCTGCACAGGATGGAGAAAGGGGCCCAGGGACCTCACAAAGTTCTGGACAGGGAAGCTCAGAGCCCTGTCTCAGGGAAGGAGTAACCCATGGGCCAGTACTGGCTGGGGCTGACCTCCTGGAGGGCAGCTCTGCAGAGCATCTCACCACATGTATTATCAGCAAACGTGCTCAGCGTATGCTCTGTGCTGTCATCCATGTCATGAATAGCAGTGGTGAAAAGTCTTGGCTGTCCTATCAACCCCTAGTGTGCACCACTAATCCTGGTCTCCAACTAGACTTGATGCTGCAAGTCACAACTGCTGGAGCAGGGGAGTTCAGCCCATTTTCAGTCTACCTTGCTGACCACCTATGCAGCCTGCAGCGCATCAGCTTGTCTGTAAGGTCTCGCTATCTGTATTAAAATTAAGGTTAAACAACATCCAGTGATCTCCCCTCTTCAAGCAACTTTATCATCTCATCGTTGCAGGCTCAGACCTTGCTTCAGCATGATTTTCCCCTTCATAAATCCACACCGACTAATCTCAATCACCTTCCTATCCTTCATGTGTCTGGAAATAGTATCCAGGATTAGTTGCTCACCTTCCCAGGGATCAAGGTGAGACTGACTGGTTAGTTGTAGTTTCTCAGATCCCACTTTTTCCCTTGACAGTAGTGAAATTTATTCTCTCCCAGTCCTCAGGAAGGATGCCATCTTCCATGTGTATCTTAGGGAGTTCCTTGCATAGCAGTTGTTTTAGTTACTACTTATTTTAGGTCTTCAAACAATCAAAGAAAAGTTATTTGCCAAAATAGCTATGAGTAAAAGCTTCAAGTGCTTTTCCTTGTAAGCAAGGACAGATGAGAAACAAGGCTAGAAGTCCAAGGTCTGCTCTAAACAGGATCACATTCAGCATGCTGTCCTGTGGCTCTGTTATCACTTACAGCATTGCATAAGTTTAGAAAATTCCTTTAGGGTGATCCCATGATGTGACACAGTCTGTCTTTTCTCAGAGGCACTAGTGATGAACAAACCTGATTCTGGCAGGGACGTGCGTGTGGGCACACAATTGAGAAACTGCCTTTCAGCTGACTTCCTCGAACTGAAAGATGTTCTCTGTGCCTGTGGAGTTTTTATTCTGTTTGATGGGGCCTTTTTTGTTCCCCTTGAGTCAAAATGGTTCGGTTTGTAGCTGGTTTAATTTCATGGGATGCTTCCTCCAGCCCGCTGCATTTTCCTGAGGAAAACCAGGGAACAGCTGCTTGAGTGGCAGTCCCCTCGCAGGCAAAGGCGGCGCCTCGGCCATTGGCAGCGAACAGGCAGCGTCGCGCGGGCGCTGCAGGGCGAGCAGCACCGCGAGCGCGGCCGCCGCTGCGCTTGGAACGGGGCGGAAGCGGGAGCCACCGCTCCAGCCGAGCACTTGCGCAGGCAGCATTTCCCGTCCTCAGATGTGGCTTGTGGTCTGCCAGAGTTTGGCAACCGTGATGTTGAGTGATTGTGAAAGGGTGCCCACAACAAGCAAAGCAGGGTTAAATCAGTTCTCTGCTCCCACAGTGGGTTCTGTGTATCTCAACCATCTGCACGTGAGATGACGCTACCCTACGGCATTTTGTCTTCTGGGAGTACAGAATAGCATTGGAAATAATTTCAGGAAGTTCAAGGAATGCGTGCGTGCCATTAAAACAAAACAATGTTGATTTATTGAACAGATACAAACCTGTATTTGGACAGGTGCTCCTGAAGTGCTGGAAGCAAAGGAAAATATCACTGTTTTTGTTCAGAGATCTGATTTTAATGGAGCTTTTCCATAATAAAGATTCTGATACGAGAAGAACTGCTTGTCGCTTGCAGCAGCCATGCCTGTGTCTGTCCTGAAATCATCATAGGGAAACTGCAGTCCTTGGGCTGACAAGCATAGATCTCCTGCTTCTATTGAACACAGCCACATCTGGAGATGTCTACAACACAACTTGGAGAAATACAGATAGTGGAGATCAATAATCTTTGCTCTGCTGTTTCTTACTAGTTCCTACTGTTTACATGAATGTCTGAGGTAGAATATTGCAATGAAGAGAAGAAAGATTTCCCTCCTGTAGCAGTTTGTTTTCCGTTCAGTCATTACGCATAAGGACAGTGAGTATCTTCTCAGTTATTTCTTAAGGAAGCCACACCACAGATTTCCTCTGTCATTGTGAAATAATGCTTTTAGTACATGACACACTTCTGATTCACAGACTTTTGAATTATGTTTCTTTTTAAATAAAAGCATGTTGGAAGCAGTTGAATCTTGCCTGGGGAGCAGTTGAAGCTGGTGGTGCTTGCGTAAAGAGGTCCACACTCCCAGATGGGTGCTTGGCAGACTTAGTTGACCTACTTTAGCTCTGACCTTGATTTGCTCAGAGGTGTTTATGTTCTCGTGATCAGCTTTGCTGCGTGATTAAGCTGGTCATGTGATACTAACCATTCTGTGTTTTTTAACAGATGAACAATAAGATTTGTTCTTACTGTCTCATTAGCCTCCTTATGGGGGGTAGAGAAGAACTGAATGCAAGGGAAGGCAGACCTGAAGGAAGGAGTCCAAACTGGGCAGAGAGGCACCATCTGATGTAACATAGTGACAAAATATCATTTGATTCTTACCTACAGGGGAATTTAATCAGGAAGTGACCTACATGGCATTTTTTCAAGTAGGTTCTTGGAGTACCTTGGCAACAGGCTTGGAGTCATAATTGGAAGATTTGGCTATGTTTATATCTATGGATATTTTTTCTGTGCTGCTTTTTGTAGAGGATTTGTTGAGCCATTGAACACCCAGCAGCTTGAGGCGGAAGAAAGCTACTGAAGCATTCACTTTTCCAGAATTTTAAGAAGGTCTAACAATAAAACAAATTTTGCTGAACTGTTCACTGCTTATTATACTGGGGCATGCTGATGTTCCTCTGATCATTGGGTTGGCATTTTTTAGCATTAAACGTCATTGCAAGAGACATGCATTATTCTTAATTCCCATAGTGCCGAAATGTAGGACTGTGGCTGCTAGAACTGAGATTAATGTTTGGGACATTGTAGAGAGGGGGCTGACTTGAAAAGAAATTGAGAAATCTCTCTCTCTTTTTTTTTTTAATGTAGTTTTGCTCTATTTAAATGGCCCAGGCACTTAAAATAGCTGCTTTGAAACTATGAAGTATGTGCGCTTGTTATTTATATTTATACAATTTAAAGTACTAGCACAGTTGAACTGATACTTAATTTTTAGAACTTTTATGTGGGACTGCTTTTTAAAGCTGTGTTCTGAGGTGAATAACAAAGCAGCTTTTTTTTTGCCTGGAAACATACTAATGACTTGTGTAACCTTTTTGTGTCCCCCCCCTTTTTTTTCTCATTTTCTTTTCTCATCATAAGCCTTTTTCGCTTCTAAAACTCTGACTATTGTGAATAGTCTTTAAAAAAACTCCTATCTCCAATTTAGGAAAGCATTTGTTTTATTCCAGTGAGGTCCAACCTTCTCTCTTAGGTCTGTAAAGCTACCTTAAGCAGCAAAATTTGAGCTCACCAACTACTCAGTAGTATATAGTAGTGTTCAGGAGCTTTGGAAAGTCAATGGTGCATGATTGGACCAGAAATTTGGGAAACTCATTTCCAGAGTGTGTGTTTTTCAGTGCCCATAAGGATTTTATCTTAGGTTCTAGGACTGACCTGTGTTCAAGGATTGAATGCTCAGTACTTAGTGTAGAAGAATATTCCTGTGGGCAGCTAGGGGTGATGGTGCTTTCTCACTAAATGTGCAAGGCCTAGGCACAGGCCACTCTTAAGTCTAGCTGTAAGTAAACATAATGAAGGTGGGAGGTATTGTTCTCTTTGCATTTGATAGACCTAGAACAGAGAAACTGTCAGAGACCGTGGTTTAATAGGTGTGTTGTAAATTAAGTTGTGGTTATCTCATAGGCCTCTTTTGTAAGGTTACTCATAGGTAACTTTTGCTGAAAAATATTTCATGGCAGAAAATTGGAAGAGAAGGCCATCCGGCTGCATGTTGGCCATTAAGCTTGCCGTGTAGCTGGGAGACGTACCTGAGGACTTGCGTTATATATGGTAAATGGATTTGATTTGAAATTTGAAGCCTGCAGAATAGAACAGTAATTTTAACCATCTTTCTTTTGAAAATGCCAGCAGCTATGACAAAGTAAAAGAAAAAAGTAAACCCGGCCCAAATCCTCTTACTGCTGTGGTCAGCCTAGAAGTGAAGCAGCTGGGAAATGAAGGCATGAGCCTGTCTGCTCCGGGCAGCCCAAGGTAGAGGGCTCCTCTGTAGAGGGCTTCTATGTGGCTAGTTGAAAACACCAAGGAGTGGTGACCGGGACCCAGAGGGAACTGATGTTGACAATACCTGTTCTGTTCCAAAGCTGGGTCCTTTGAAGATGCACATCCCACCGTCTCACTCTGTTGATAATGGGTAAAGCTTCCATACTTTATGAACAAAAATTAAAATTGGATTCTCAAATTGAAAACAGAAGAAAATATATTTTTTCTTGAAGTATCTATTTACTCTTGTAAATTTTGTCTAAAATAGTTGTTCAAAACAAACTTATCTAGAAAGGGATTCATGATTGATTTTCTTCCTGTTTAGGTTCTTGGGAATGTCTGACTTAACACATTGCAAGGCATGAAAATGTTTTAAGGAGATCAGCTGCTTCAGGCAGAGCATCAGCTCCTTCCCCTAGCTCAATCTAGGCTTCCAAGGCAGACCTGCAGGTAAAATCCTTTGTTTCACAGTTGAGGCACTTTAATAATGGGTAAGCTCTTTACTGTGTCTATATGAACAATATAAGTAAGCAAATTATTTGCAGATTAAAATATACGTCCTTTAGAACAAAAAGCTAATCACTTTTAACAGCTTTCTAGAGCGTAGGGTTGTTGTTAGGTTTTTATTTGTGAAGACTCTTGTGCTCGTGTTCATTTAAACTAGTTTGCTATTGGAAGGATTTTGAACTCTGTTGCAAGCAGCGTAATGGAAGTGGAACTTTCAATCTGCATGAACTTTGAGAATGTGATATGTGACTGAAGGAGACACTTGAATTAGTGTCCCACTAAGTAAAAGGTGACAAAACTTATTCTTTATGTTGGTTAGCAGTAGTTGGCTGGCCAGTTAACAGCAAACTCAGTTTAGTTCTAGCATTTTGAGAATGGTGGTGGTTTGTATGCAGTGTTTAATGCAATAGCAGCTAAAAGAAAGAGTAATAGTCTGTATCTGACAAGATCAAATAATGCAATTGTAATTATTGCGGATGTTAAGGACACTACATTTAAATTTTTTTTTGATTAAAAATATGTAAGTTTCTGATTCTATTAATGCAGTCTTTTTTTTCCCTTTTCTTTTTGCTAACTTTAGACAAACCAATGGCAGACCAAAGGATGGACATTTCTTCTACAATTAATGACTTCATGTCACCAGATCCTACTGACTTGATCTCCAGTTCCCTTAGCACTTCAGGAATGGATTGTAATAGGAAAAGGAAAGGAAGCTCTACTGAGTATCAGTAAGATGATTTCTCTTGATTTAAGACAGCTGAAAAGAGGTTATGACAGAACATCATGATGGAAGACAATGGAAGCATTTGTAGTAATTTTCATAATAGCCTTTTCATGATAATATGCTGTAAAGGTTTTAATGGAGGAAAAAGTTACTAATAAGAAAGTGTTTAATAATAATCACAAAATGTCCATTTCTGTGCAGGCAGTTTTGAGGGCTGTGCAGCTAGTGTCACAGTCTGTTCCAAGGCTTTGGGGATGAGGCTGAGGAGAGAAATGTGTGATCAGGAGAGATAAATTAGTATAGATGAAATGTACAATGCACAGAATGACTATGTTGACATAGGAAATAGATGGTCTGACTAGTAGAAAGGAAATTAATAATCAGATAAAAAGCAACAGTGAAACTAGGATTAGTTTCTTCTGTTCACCTATTTTTGCCTGTATCAGATGTGTTGCAACTTTAAAACAGCTGGCTGCAGGTTAGTTTATGGAGGGTGCCATCCACTAATACAGCTGTGTAGTCCATCTTCATGTAACTTCGACTGTCCACAAATGTAATTGTTATGGGCTATTGGATTGCTGGAAGTTCCTTTGGCAAGCAGGGGCACAGTTGTTAGTCCACGATTAGTGTAACAATTAAGATTTACGTTTCCTGTGCAGGGGATTTCTCTTTAGCACAACCTGTATGCAAAACTTCAGTTACTATTTAGAGACTATGGATGTATTTACTACATACTTATCTTCCATAATATGTGTTTAACCTTCCTGAAAAAAAGAATGACTCCCTCTAGTTGAATTGACTAGTTCAAAATTGAGTGAACAGCATCAGTCTTACCAACTTCCTCTTCTCTATAAAGGATTTCTCCATCTTTATTCTTCTCACGTGAGAAGGCATGAGGAGGCATTTCTCATGTGCTCTTTTCCAAAAGACAGCTTGCTCTTGTAAGTTATAATGCTGCCCGTTAGGTTGTGTGTGCATTTTACTAAATATGTGAAAATACTGTTTCCTTAAATCCAAAGTAAAATGGTTTTACAATGGCTGTCTTCTTACCACGGTTCATGTTGTATTGCAGAAGAAATTATAGTTTCCAAAAATGCCTATTTTTGCGCAGAATTTAAGATTCTTTCTCCTCACCTCCTTTAGGGAGATTCCTGTCCAACCTCCTGCTGTCACTTCAGCAAAGGTTTTCCATTTTCCAGTAGAGTCTGTTCTAGTCACAGGATGAAATCCAAGACTTCGCACACAGGTCCCCAAACTGTTAGCTCCTTACTTGGGAATAAAGTTTTAAGTTAAAAATCATACATGATAAAAAATGAATCTGTCCTGAAGCATTAGTAGATTACCTGGCGGAAATACCTCTTTAAGGTTTTTTCTTCCATGTTCTTTTAAGGCTAAAGAGTGTCCCAGCAAACCTCCTGCAGCTAAAGGTAGCATCAGTTTTCATTAGCAACCTGATCCTAAATGAATTTGCACTGAAACAGCTAAGAACTGAGATGCAGAATCTACCATGTGATTTACGACAGGGTACAAACCATTCCTTGGGGCAGTACTTTAGCTGCCTGTATAAGAGGATAACTGACCCCTCGTTTCTTGTTCTAAGTCTTGCTCTAGACCTGTACACTGCTTCTCTGTAAGCATCAGCCGTGCTTTGAGCCCTCGACTAATACAGTAACACAAATGTGCCAATTGAGAGCTGAAGGAAACACTTAGCATTATTCAAACTTCTTTGAAAACTAGTCACAAAGTGATTAATTAGAAAGTACAATGACTAATATATGATAGATTGCTATGTTTATTTTAAAAGTGTTCGTGTCTAATATTGAACTGAAATAATGGTAATATGTTAATGACTAGTATGAAAAAGATTATCATAAAATTTCTAAAAACATACCTAGCCTCTCCATATGTTAAAGCTCAGTGCTGTTTCGGGCCCTTTTGCAGTCTCAAAGTGATGCCAGCAGTTAATTTGCATATAAAGATTCCTTTTATTTTCCATTTCCTTATGATATGAGGAGGTCAGTAAAATTTTCAGAATTAGGACTTAAGTACCAACTAAGAGAAAATGGTTATCTGTCCTGCTGGGCAGAGTCAAAACACTGAGAAACTTGAGATACATTTTTTATTCCTCGCCTCGGAGTCCTCTGAAATTTCATTTACCATGAGTGGTAGTAGGCGTAAATCTTTTTGTTTCTGCAAAAGACATAAGTATCATAAGTAGAAAATTTGCATAATAGTAAAACAACTGTCCTAAATTATGTCTAATGTTTTTAGTGAAATGAACTGTAACATTATTCCATTGTAGAAAGCAGAATTATTCTTTCTCAAAGTAGATAAACAAATTTGTCACCTTAGAATACGAACATTCGTTACTATTGTCTTTGTTTTCCTTGTGCTCTCATCTCAGAATATAAGCTATTAGTTTAAGAAGATGAACAAAAATGTAGGTAGTGTTATAGTTTTTTATGTATGGCATAATGTTTTTTCCTTTGTCTTTCAGAATTGATGGCTTTCCTTTTGAGTAAGTATAAATATTTCAGTAATCAGTTTCACTTCAAACTTGGAAAAGGTGCTGGGTCTTTTTCTTCCCTATTCCCTCCCTCTACCTAAAACCTACAGGTACAATTTAAATCAGAGTAAGAATGTCCATTTTAACGCATTGTATAAATTTAACTATATCAAAACATTCCCTTCCTAATTTGCCTATATTCAAAACTTCAGCTGTAGAAACAGCTGCTTTTTGGCATATTTCTGATGAAGGCATAAAAAATACATGCTTTAATGTGTCCCTTTTCATTTTTTTCCTCCAATTAGTTGGAAAAAAAAACATTACAGATGCTATCTCTGAACTGTCAAATACACCAAATTGTGCCTTTTGGCTTGATGTAAAGAGAGAGAACCAGTTTAAGAAAATATTTTAGTATTGCAAAAAAACAGGACTTCTTTAGTCTTTTCAAGTTCTCTTTTTTATATTCTTTAACTTGAGTTATTTTTGTACTTGGGATTTAAATCTGGAGGGAACACTTTATAATATTTTTATCGGAGTTTGATAAGAGCTTTGCTAATCCTGCTTGATTTGTGATAAACTGCTTTATTCTGTTTCTGCAGGGAAGGTATGGATACAGATAAAGATGACCAACATGGAAGGTACTACTGATACATTGTTAGTTCCATAGTGCTAACATAGGATCCTGTGTTTAGATATCAGTGTTCAATGTCACTACAGTCAGGTGCCCAAAACTCTTTTTTTTTCCCCTGAGGAAAAAAACATAATGTTGTTACAGAAATTAAGGGGAAAAAAAAGAGTTTGAGACACACCACAATATTGTAAATAGTGATCTTTTCTAAGGAATGGTTAAATAAAGAATCAAATAAAATGCTGATTTTTGATGAAGGTCAGTAGGTATGTGAGATGCACTAAAAGAATTGTTTTCAGTACTGTAATTGTGTGATACCGTTTCTTAACAGATTGGAGTATACAGACCAACAAGGCAGAATAAAAAATGCAAGGTAATATAACCTTAACAAATATATTGAAAAGAATTCTCTCACCTTTTGCCATATGAGAAATATTTGCATGTGTTTCTTACTCTTAAAATAATTTTTTATAGTTTTGACCTTCTGTTGTTTTTCCATATTATTACACTTAACTTTTTTTTTGCATGAACTGCATATAGATTTATGAAAATGCTGATTTCATAGATCACTATTAAAATATGCTTTTAGTCACCTCTGTTAACATTGAAACTGAAGTCTGAACATGTGTTTCTGATGTTACATTCATAATCTTGTTTGCTTAAACTCGTAGTGTGTCACAAAAGTATTCGTAGAGATTCTGTAATATTTGAAGACATAGAACAAAAATAAAATCAGTGTTGATCAACATTTGCTTGGTTAAGCAAGAGCTTGGTTCAGAGGCATCTCAAATATTTTAAATGGAAATCTGTAGGACATTTAGAAAACTTATAATCACAGCAAGAGATGGTTTTAAATCCTTAGTATATTTATATAGTGTAATAGTTAAAATAGTGAATTGAATGCTTTATTTAGGTTTTATATGCACTGGAATTTGCTTACCTGTGATCTTTGTGACCCCTGTTAGGTTTTGGGTGTATGTGCTAAAAGTATTGGACAGCAGTAGGAAACTTATAAGATAATTTTGTGCTGTGTAACGTATGGTTTCAGAACCGAAGATGCAGTGTAGAGTGTGCCCAACATTATATGTGTTTTCTGGTAAATAAGAGCCACGTGCTGCAGCTTTGCCTGTTGCTCTGATACTCACCAAATAATGACCATTTCACGTCTGGAGAACTCCGTGTATGTCAGGGATGGCCTTGTCATGAGGATAAGAGGGTGTCTTAATCATCAGGGGGAGGTTATTTTGCATTTCTGTTTTTCAGGAGTTTAACTGTTTTTAGTGATTTATTTTCTCATGCTTTCTTGTTTTTCCTCACCACTTTACTTGTTTAGGGAGGCTCATAGCCAAATCGAAAAAAGGCGTAGAGACAAAATGAACAGTTTTATAGATGAACTGGCATCCTTGGTACCAACGTGCAACGCTATGTCCCGAAAACTAGATAAACTCACTGTGTTGAGAATGGCAGTCCAGCATATGAAAACATTACGTGGTAAGTTGGTGGTGAGGGAATAGTATGGAGCTTCCCCAGACCCATTCATTTTCACTCTTTCTTGCTACTTTTAACTTGGCAGATTCACCTGAGCTGTTTAAAAGAGCCATTTTTAAAGTGGGGGACTAATGCAAATCAGATTGTTAAATTCTCTAGCTCTAAGGGTTTTTTTGTTTGTTTTTAAAGAGTGACATTAGAAAGATACCTCACTTCAGTGTCGTGCTAAAGGTGTTGCATGAAAGTGCTGATGCTAGGTGGGCTGTTCCTCTGCTGGAGCTGCTTGCTCTGCTGGAGCCCTTGTGCGTGCCCCTGGTCTGCGCGGTGCTCTGCAGAGCTCCTTGCCTAGTTTTCTCATGTGATGTTGCTGTACTGCTAAGCATCCCACGCGTGCCCCTGGTCCACGCAGTGCTCTGCGTTGCTGTATGATGTTGCTGTACTGCTAAGCATCCCAGAGCCTTTCATCAGATACAGTCATGAAGTTTTATGCTGTTTCTCCTACCTGTTTGTGTAGATTTGGTTATAAAATGAAACCGTAATGAGGCTACATATCCTTTTTATCTTCCATGTCTCCTTCCTTAGAAATGCCTTTGAACTCAGTCACGTCACCTTTTTTCTCACCTTTGGAATCCTCAAGAATACCAAATAGAACAACAACAACAACAAAGCTAATTTCCAAAAAGACTTATTTTCCCAGTTTCTGTGAGGCTTGCCATATTGCAATCATATTTCTTGTAGCATTTTTTAAAAAGTTTAACTTTTTTTCTGCCACTGTCACTTGGCTAGATTAGTACAGAATAACACTTAACTGGTTACTAATCGGGTTCCCTTTTGTCTTTCTGAAGGAAACTGAATGGGAAGAGGTATGCTAGAACAACTAACTGCCTCTGTAATTATGGGCTTTATGTCTCTGACATGGGACAGGAGAAGCAGTTTGCTGCTAACCTAACTGATAGTCTGGTTAAGTGACCTTGTCATATTTTACTAGGTTCTAGGAAGAAGTAGTAGTTTGAAGGTAGAAATCATTTTTTATGCTCCTACTTTTGATCTCTAATGTTGAGATAGACCTTCCTAAGTCAAGCACAGCAATCAAGGCTAGAAATATGTTGAGGAAGACATTTAATTTGTATTACAACCTACGCAAAAGGGTTTTATCCTTTTCTGGGCCAATATCAGCAGAGTTTATCCAGATAGCAAAAGAGAACAAAAAAAGCAACTTTTGCTTTTGTCCTAAGAGACAACTGAAAAGAATTATAGTACGAAGAGGAGCCAAAGGAAAATTGCTCATTTAAGTGTGTATTGTGAAATTTGTCTTTCATACACTTAGTAATATAGAGGGGGTTGTTCTTTTCTTGTTTGTTTTTTTAGGTGCTACAAATCCATATACAGAAGCAAACTATAAGCCTGCTTTTTTATCAGATGATGAGTTAAAACATCTTATTCTCAGGGTATGTTTTTGGCTTTTAATTATGAGATGTTAATGGCTGTGAATATCTCTCTCCCAAAGCAACACACCCATGTTTTTCTGTCTTGTACCTCAGCTTAAGAATGTGTTGATTCCGGAGGATGACAGACCATTGCATAAAGTCAGTATGATTTAAGTATGGTTAGCATGTCTAAAACTAAGGAGAAGGATTTTAGATGGAGAACTGAGAAGCTCAGATGTTTCGATGGTAAAGCACTGTACTTCCCAGTCATCAGAATCTTTCATTATCTCATGGAATTAACCAGAATTATATAAATAGTTTTCTTACAGACATTCTGCCTTGGGCTACCTTGACATGATTTTCAGCACACAATGATGTGATGAATTTGGTTTATTTGAGGTCACTGACGCAACACAACTTAGTGTGTTTGGCTGCTTGCCTCTGTGCTTCTTTTACAGTACAGAGTATGTACCACTTGTGCTGGTAGTTAAACACATCTAGCAGTTTGCAGGACTTGTGAAGCGCTGCAGTGACCAGGTACAGCACAATGCAGGGCTGAATTTCTGCAGCATTGTGAATGTAGGGCTGTCTAGTTAAGGCCTGATCCTGCATGCTTTTCTATATGCAGGTTTGGCTACCTTTTGTTTTTTAAATGAGCTAATATGCAGTAAATATAGTTAAGCTAATGTTTTCATTTGAAAACAAAAGCATTATTAAACATAATCATACCATTATAGGACAAGACATGGGTTCTTTCTTTCCATAAGAATTATTTTAAATTCTGGGCATGATTCTTGGAAAGATGCCCAAAAAAATTTGCAAATGCAAAATAAAAAGAAAAATCATTGTAATTTCATATTTGGCCTGTTAACTCAGTTATCTCTATAAGTGTTAAGAGAGTTTTCCTGGTATAAAAGTTTTATTGTATAGAAAAGGCTTAAGACTTTTAAAGGCTAGAATGATGCTGTGAAGATATAAACTTAGCAGTTTACATTTTTTTCCTAATTAGGCAGCAGATGGATTTCTTTTTGTGGTGGGCTGTGACAGAGGGAAGATACTGTTTGTGTCAGAATCTGTCTTCAAGATCCTCAACTACAGCCAGGTATTCTTTTCTGCCATAAATAATGTTAGGCCTTAGAAGATTTGAAACACTTTATGTGATTATGCATTTATTTGAGTGGGGGGAAGGTCTATCTTGAAAGGTGAGATCTGTTAGGAAAAAACAAACAAAAAAAGCATTCTGATCTCTGCAGTGTTTTTAGAAATGTTATTCTAACATTATTAGAAAAAAATGTTCCTGGTTTAAGTTCATTTTAAGGGAGGTGAAAATGCAGTAACGATGTTTCACTGGTAGTGACGCCCTCTCAGTAAGGATTCACCGTTGTGCTTGCACAAGTGTTACCTACCTTCACTTTTAGGTGAATATTGGAAAAAATCAGTCTGAGGTTCTTCCAACAGCTTCACGTATCTTCTGGAGAATTTTTCTGCTTGATTATCTTTGTTTAGTTTTTGTTGTCCTACTTAATAATGGATTAAAAACTTATATAAGGTTTGTATTGAGCCAAGTATTTAGCTATTGGGCAGCAGCACCTGTATCTAAACACCAGAGTATCTTGCATCATTCTTTGTCAAAATGTTGATTTTAAAAGGTTATTTTTGCATATTTAGTTCTCTCGAGGCTGTCTGGAAAGAGAAAATGTTAATATAACTGCTCTTTGCCAACATAGCAGTGGGATTTGTCAAGTAAAACTGATGCAAATAGTATGTACTTCCATGGTGCAACCCATGGATTGACTCCCTCCAAAATCTGAGGAGTAATTAGCCCAAAGCTTGGCTTTTATACCTGTTTAATACAAGGCTTGACTTGTGCTATATAACGAGTAAAGAATAGTCTTCATCATCTGCTATCCTTTTCAACTTTAAAAAAAAAATATTCAAAGGCATTCTTCAGTCAGCCTTTAGTTTACATATATGCTAAATACCTCCTAGTCACATAAATATTGAAATAAAACATTTTTAGTTATGATTTTTGACTTTAAATGTGTAGTATGAGACTGAATAGAAGCCAGAATGTTGTTAATGGATTGAGCATGCTATTTCTGCAAAACATTTACTGAAAATAGTTGAATTATTAAATTACCATGCAACATAGTCTTAACTTCAAAACATATAGAGAAAATAAATACATTCCATTAAATTTTGGATTTCAGATTTGTCATGTTCATTGGTCAGACCTAAATATAAAAGGATTCTCAATAGTGGATACTAAAATTAGGAAAATATATGGTACAATTGTTTTAATTTTTGACTGAATATTCAATATCTGCAGAATGATTTGATTGGTCAAAGCTTATTTGATTACCTTCATCCTAAAGACATTGCCAAAGTGAAGGAACAGCTCTCTTCTTCTGACACTGCCCCACGAGAAAGGCTTATAGATGCAAAAAGTGAGTATTAGCATGTTTTAAAACAGTATCATGTAGGCAGATACAGTGAATCTGAATATTTACCTAATATCCAGAAGGAGTGAGGAGCTATTTGGATTACCTGCCATTCCACAAGTTTCTTTTCCAGGTAGAAGTACTTCACGTATGTCAGGGAAGTTCTGTCTTAAAGGCAGGGGAAAAAAAGTACTAAACTAAAAGTACTAAATGTGGAAGCTTGTAGGTTTAGCATGTACTGCAGTGTCAGTGGGTGAGTTTTACTAACTGGCTTCACCTGTGAGGAGTCCTTTTCTTTTTCCCAGCCACGGAATGTAGAAACTAGTTATAATATAGGATGAGCAGAATGGAGGCAGGTAGCACTTGGAGATGTGTCTGCATTATTTTAGCTGCCCAGTATTGGATCTTTAATCTGAAAGCAGCCTCCAGATTGAGCTCAGAAACTAGGCTAAGATAGAGCATCCCAAGGTGCTGAGCCTAGAGGCTTCTGTTTTCTGCAAACGTTTTCCCCAGATGTGCTTTCCCCACATGTGCTTATCCAGGCTTGTCCCCTTTTTGTATGCCTCTGACAAAGAAAAGGCAAAAGTAAATGCCACAAATTTTGGTCTTGCTATCTGCTATTGGAGAGAGGCAGCCTTAGCACCCAAGCATTGTACTTGCTGATTGTAACCATTTGCATGGGTGAGTTTTTACCTGACAAAGAGAAGGCTTCCTCACTCCCTCTGTTTGCTGCAGCTGGACTCCCCGTTAAAACCGACATAACACCTGGGCCATCACGACTATGCTCTGGAGCAAGACGGTCCTTCTTTTGTAGGATGAAGTGCAATAGACCTTCTGTAAAAGTAGAAGACAAGGATTTTCCTTCAACTTGTTCAAAGAAGAAAGGTAACAATTATACATTTTGTCAAATAGAACAACTATCAAGCCGATTTTGCTAACTGCATTGCTAACATGCAGTGGATAAGATTTTGATGCTTATTGACTGGAGTCAATATTTCCTCTTAAGATGTGGCTGTATGAACTACATCTAGGTCTGTTGTTTTCTCCTCTTCATTTTTTTTTCCAGAGTAGTTCTCCTGTGTTGTATTAGCATATAAAGCCAAATTCTCCCCTGAAGCTCGCTGATGAAGCTCTCCAAAAGCAGGATCAGTGACATAAATAAGATTTTCTTTCTTTTTCTTCAAATAGCAGACCGCAAAAGCTTTTGCACAATCCATAGTACAGGATATTTAAAAAGCTGGCCACCGACAAAAATGGGACTGGATGAAGATAATGAGCCAGACAACGAAGGTTGTAATTTAAGTTGTCTTGTTGCAATTGGACGGCTGCATCCCCATGTAGTACCACAACCAGTGAATGGTGAAATCAGGGTGAAACCTACAGAATACGTTTCTCGACATGCAATAGATGGAAAATTTGTTTTCGTAGATCAGAGGTAAGAATATTTGTAGTAGCTTACGCTGTTTTTGTAACACAGAGTATTAACTTTGTAATAAGTCACTGTCCAACAGTATTTTACTAACAGTATAATATATACTTGAAGCAGTGAAAATATTATTCAGAACAGTCTGTTCTTTTCAGCTTTTCACTAAATCTTGTCTACAAGTTATTCTGTTTTTTTTTCCCCTAATACTCTATTTTGTTTTTTTTCCAATTGTTGTCCCTGAAGAATGTATATTTCTTCAAGGGGCTCTTTGAAAGGGAATTTTTAAAGTGAGCCTCATCGATAGGCTTAAGTTTTGTATCCTGAGATCCATAGTTTTACTGGAAAATATTTAGGCGCCAATAAAAGTTCAAAATCTTTGATTTGTTTCTATGTTGCATCTTTTTATTCATACAGACTTGCACTGTTCCATTGTCATTTGCCTAAGGGAATCTAGAAAATAAACACTTTTCAGATTTTCTGCAACTAGCATTTTGTCGTTATGAAGCGCATAGTCCCTGGAGAAGAGCTTGCAGGAGGAGAAAATATGTAGGCATTAATTAATATGTAGGCATAGAGAAACTGTTGAAGAATAATTAAGCATTAATGTTGTAGTTCAATTTTCTTGAGCATGTAGAGACTTTCATAACTGAACCAATTCCTTTTGCTTGCAGTTAGATTTAAAATAGTTGGCATATCTCTGGCTTTCCCTAATAATGTCCTATATACTTGATTAGAAAAATGGTATACATGAGCCCTCAGTGCAAGAGCTTTCACAAGTAAATTCCATCTCATACTGCAGCCGCGGGAGAGGGGTGCTGCTATATGCAGGATGCTGCAAAGTGCATCCCTGTGAGCTGGAAACACATGAGCTACTTTTCATTGGTTGTTACAAGGTGATTTCCCTGGTTCATGTTTCTGTTGCACAAGGCAGATGACAATAATTGGTTTAATTTACCCATTCATGCCATTGACCGCGAGTGTTCACAGCAGCTATTCCACAGTAACCGTCTGGAAATGTCTGTAATATCCAGGGTCCATGATCCTATGTGTAGTTCAGTACATTGGAAGAAATGATCTTGAAAGTTGTCAATGACTTATCTCAGATGCAGTAAAAGTGCAGAGCACATATCTAAAATTTGATTAAAGTAATGCAAGAATTCCTCAAAAGTGTCTTCTGATAAAATTGCCTCAGCAGGGGATGTATAAACTACTTCATTACTCACTGAATTGAATACAATACAATATTCTTTGAGCGTGATTTCCTATTCCCTCTTTTTGATGGAAGACGACAGTTTTTCCAGGCAAGTTTTCAGGGAGCCACTGAGCTCTGCCACTGAAAGCAAAGACACTCCTAGTAGCGGAGACGCTAAACCTGAATCATAGCCCCTGCACTTCAAACTCATTATGACTTGGTGAACAGATGGAGGCTCCTCCTTGTGCGGTGCGTCTTTCAGATAGTCAGTCTGTTTTTTTGGAGGGGATGGGAGAAGGGTTAAGTCTTTCCTCAGGTGGTGGATTCTGGTCGTTCTTGTAGCTGTTGTCTGGAGTGCTGGCTTCATCCACATCCTTCCTGAACCTTGGATTGAAGTTTCCAGGGCTAATAAAATAAGCTATTTAAAAACTCTTGCATCCCAGCGTGATAGGTCAAATACACCACCTGAGGGCTCTTGGAGTTATGTGCTTTTATAATTACGTGAAAATTAAAGAGAGTATTGTTAATTAATTTTTTCCTTGTAAATTAGACTAATTTTCAGGATTACTTACATCTTGCCCAACTTCAGTATGAGCTTTAGTGATCCGCTAGTTAATCTGTTGTTATCAAGTTGTAATATATCAACTTGAAAAACCTTTTTTTTTTTTTTTGTTTTCCATCTTCAAGGGCAACAGCCATTCTGGCATACTTACCCCAGGAACTTCTAGGTACTTCATGTTACGAGTATTTTCATCAAGATGATATAGGACATCTTGCAGAATGTCACAGACAAGGTACCATTCTTAATAATCCGATTGAGAGATTTTTTTAATGATTGGGAAAATAACATAATAAGAATGCTGTGGAAACTTGAAAGCATTGGTTGTCTTTCTGTTTGCAAATGCTTCTGTTCAGGCGTTCCTCATGAGCCAAATGATATGATTTTGTTAGACTTGCATGGATTTTTAAGGAATGTTTGATCTTCAGTTATGGGGCGGGGGAAGCTTCAGAAATAGCTTTTTCTCCAGATGAGGGAAGGAAGAGGCTGAATTAAGTTTTTCCTGGGGAGGAGGCTTCTATAGTCATTGTGCATGCCAAAACAAGGTTATTCTGTTTATAGTTTTGCAGACAAGAGACAAAATTACAACCAACTGCTACAAGTTTAAAATAAAAGATGGGTCTTTTATTACATTGAGGAGTCGCTGGTTCAGTTTCATGAACCCTTGGACCAAAGAAGTAGAATACATTGTCTCAACAAACACAGTTGTTTCGTAAGTATTTTTCCCTTAACAAATGCTTGTAAATGCTGATTTCCTTGTCGTAAGATAAGACTTGATGTAAATATGTGCACATCTTTCCTTTGACAGCAAGTATTCTACAAATAGCAGCCAGAATTACATATTGTGAGGAGGAGAATTAGTTGACCTATGAATTGTAATGTAGGCTGGATAGTGCTCACTAAATTCTTCACACACAAAAACATTTGCCTTCCTTGGGAAAACCTGGGGTTACAGTCCTTGCAGAGATGCATTATTTTTCCTTGAGGGTTCTGCCCAGGTGCAGCGACTTCACAGTAGAATAACTGCTCTAAGAGGAATTCATCTCATGAGAAGCAATTTGGATTCTGCATTGCACGTTTTGAGTTGCTACATGGTGTTTTATTTCTGTTGTTTATCTAGCCTTAGTGTCAGTCACAGCGCTTTTTTCACTGAGGTTATAGTGACTCATAAACTGCTTAAACCCTGAAGCGTTCTGCTCTGACACATTGGCAAAGAGACTCTTTTGTAGGGTTTTTAATAACTGATTCTTTTAATTCTTGAAATTGGCAGCACCAGTGTACTAGACAGTGGGGATGCAGCCTTTCCACAGCTTGCAGCTTCTCCACACAGCATGGACGGCGTTCTCCAGGCTGGAGAAGGTAACTACTGTATTCTGAGGAAATTATTAGCTGTCTCGACGTGTCATGTCTGCTGCAATTTTCCATTGTGAATTTGTTAAAATCTAAGGTAAAAAAATGTGGTTTAGGACACACAAATGCCAATGGAGCTCATACCTCGATGAACCTTATTCAGCTTTGAATGCAAAATGATCAAAGAGAGAATGTGAATGAGTCAGAAATAGGAAATAATTATGAACAAGGTTGGAGGAGTGAGTTGGAGGAGAAACGTTTGCCTTCCTGGAGGAGGCAGTTTATGTGTGCGTAAGAAACGTCATCCCAGAGCAGCTTCACGTCCTGCGGCCACTGCAGGTGTGCGCTCAGGGTGCACAGGCCATACACATAGCTTGGCTGTTGACTTCCTTTTCGTCAAGACATGAAGACTGAAACTCAGTAGTTATGACAGGCTTGTCATGCTTTCTGGAGATCACTGAAACATCTTCTATAACTGTGTAGCAAAATATGGAGCAGAATTTGACTTAACAGTAAAGTGTTACAGGAGCAGGGTGGAAGTGAGGAGGAGTAGGCGGATGCAGCAATAGGCTATGGAGGAAGGATTGAGGAGAAGGGATGTTAGCAGCACTTAGGTTCTTTCCAAAAAGTTGGGAGCCATCGGTTTTAGATACTAGATACTTACTTTACTAGATATTAGTCTTTTCAACTATGCCTTTACAGCAGTCGAGTAGGGTTATTGCATGTCTGGAATTATGTCCAAAACTGTATACAGTATGCTTAGCACATTGGTGTAAAAGCTGGGATTCTCGGCTCTTCTGAAAAATGAGCTTCAGGAAGGGAATTTACAAAGGAGAGAGGATGGCAAAGCTTGGACAACTGGCAGCGTGGAAGGTAGAAAAGCTGAGATAGGTATGGCAAGTAGTAATTGAATGTCGAATTACAGGAATGAAGTAGCGTCTGGGGCTTTTGCGAATGAAGAAATATAGAACAGACTGTTCTAAAATGGGAGAAGCTTCTTCATGCTACAGTGTAGCCTTTGAAAAGAAACCAGCCATGTGTAATATTGTCATATTGGATAGTTTGCTTCCCAGCAAAGTAATTCAGTGAAGTTTAATTTCAAACTTTGGCTTGATTTCATGACCTTGTAGGAAGTGCTAAGCCACCTCACCTCATGATGGATTTGAGCCATAAAGATTACAAGGGTTATTATTTTTAAATACGAATTTCTGAAACAAGATAAATGTCCATTATGCATAATCATTGCTACGTGGCTTCCTCGCCCTTTCAGTAGGTGATCTCTTCCTCTCGCTGCCTTGGATATACTGAGCTGCTAGACAACCTGCAGCACTCTGCAAGTGCCAAGCCACCTTAAAGTAGCAGTGAACTTCTAAAGCTCCAGTGAGCTCACTTTTGCTTCCCTACTGAAATATTTAGAGTAACCTGCAGGGGCTTAATTAAGGTTCATCAGGTAACCTGAGTTCATTCCACATTGACCATGTCTAGTGAGGCATTCTCACAAGCTGCCCTACAAGCTGGGCAGGAGATACTGTCAGATGCTCTGAAGAGCCCGATTCTGCAGGAGTGAGAACACACGTACCTGATAGTAGGTAGGTGTAGGGGCCCAGATGGATGTGAGAGGTGTAGTGGAGCCTGGCCCAGGCAGGATGGAGCATTCCCTGCATTTGAAGACACTCGCCAATCAGTGGAAATGTAAATATATTCTGTAAACATAGTTCTGACAAGCTGAGGGATCCTTTAATGCTTAAATGCAAGTGTTTTGCTTTGTTTCATGGAAAAGGGTTAGCTTTCATCTGACCTTAAGATACTTGTTTGTTTCAGGTGGCCCAAAAAGGACCCATCCTGCTGTCCCTGGAATTCCAGGTGGAACAAGAGCTGGGGCTGGTAAAATAGGGAGGATGATTGCTGAGGAAATCATGGAAATTCACAGGTGAGAGAAATGGTATTAAGTTAAAAGAAAAGCAGTGGCTCTTTAAAAAAACAAATCAAGGAAAGGAAGGAAGCCTTTCTTCAAGCTGAATGTGGAGTTATGCAGTTATGCTTTGCAAGCAGGCAGCTACAGATACCTATACTGAATGTCTGAGGCACTCAAAGCCCACAGAGAAAGAATGAAGAAGTTACAGTCTTTGAATTTTCTAATCTAAAAGGACTAATACTATTGTTTTTTAAGATGATAATTGTCTTTTTACCAGAAATAGAACGTAAAAAAACCAGCTTTTTTTCTTCTAAGAACTAGTCCCCTGCCAATAAAAGCTCCTATCTAGCAAACATTCAGTGGTATTAGCAGTACTGAGCTTGCAGTTCAGGAAAAACCTCAGATCCATCTCATAGTTTTGTTCCTGTTGCAGGCCAGAGACTACTTACAAAGTGAGGCAAAGAAACGGTTAACCTGTCACATTAAGGATGGGCATTCTTCCTATCTGTAAACACACTTTAAAAGAAACCAGCAGGTTGAACCAAGATTTTAAAACTTCCCATCACTTTTAGTAGCTGTAAAACTCTTAATTAGCTGCAATGAATGTAGTAGTATAGTTCACCCCCCATGCTTTTCTTTCATTTAAAGACCCTGGGTTAGTTCCAGTCCTCTTTCAGCAGCTGCTACTATTTTCCAAGACTGCCTTCTGTTCAGCTTTCCCAGGGGAACTCTGCCAAGGATAAGATTCCCATTTCTATTACTGTTCTCTGTCACTGCCCTCTTCCATTTAGTCTAGAGATTTGTTGATTCTACAGTTAATATGTTGTTCATTATTAAAAGATTGATATTTGATCAAGCTGAAGAATGGAAGTGAAAAATGCTGCTTTGAGGGGTTTTTATTGTAAGTTAATTATATCACGTCTGGTATATTTCTGTAGAGGTAGCTCACTGAAGGAGTCTAGGTTAGAATATAAATTCAAAAATTATTTTAGGTAAAAAAAATACCTAGGATCTGTTCCTTGCAGATGCTCTGTGAAGGCTGTAAAGCAACAAATAAAAGGTGGTGGGAGGAGGTAGAGTTTGGCAGGCTGAGTGAGCTGGACCATGTACACGTGAACTGTTGTTGTTAATCTAGCTGCAAATTAAAATGATCTGCCTGCAGTTTAAAACGTTGCTGCTGCTGACTTGCGTAACAGTGAAAAGGTGGTGAAACTACAGCAGTGAATTCCAGGCTTTTAAACACCTGATAGGAAGGGTCAGCATTTGAAAAGCCAGCTCTCTGCCACTTGAGTCCAAACAGTCACTAGCAAAATCATTTCCTGTTTTGTCCATATGACAGGATAAGAGGATCATCACCTTCTAGCTGTGGTTCAAGTCCACTGAATATTACCAGCACCCCACCACCCGATACATCCTCCCCAGGAGGCAAGAAGGTAAGAACAAACACTACAAATAGACCTGCAACAACCGTGATCAGCAGCATGACAGAAAGGTTGTAAAATTACATGGCTACTACAAAATAGCCATATGGAACTCCACGTGGCTAAAAGAGTCAGTGACAGCAAATTACAGCCTGGACGTGCCCTGGTCCCTTTTTAGTGGGCAGTACAATGCGAAAACTGGTGCTTCTCAAACACTGTCAGCTTTTGAGATCTTCCTGCTTCTTTGCTTTTCCCTGATTTTTACTTTTTAACTGAACTGCAAGTTAAGTAGCTCACCTCAATGTCTCTTGATCCTCCAAAAACTCGCTCACACCACACACTGGTGAACGTTGGAATTGTTACCGTTTGAGCACTCACTCTACTCACATCAAGTCTAATGATGCATGAGGGCTTTGCTGTCCTGCTGTAGCAAAAAGTGTGACAATTAGGTGCCTCACTGTGCAGCGGCAGGTTATTTTTTAAATCAATACAGTGCACCATGCCTTGTGCTAAGATTGCTGGAGTATTATGAACACTTACAAGCAGCTAATATTGTTGTTAAGTGATCTAGCAAATTGCTGCTTAGAGTTGTAATATTCAAGGCAAGCACTTACCCAAATTCTTATTCTATGCATTCAAACCCTGCTACAGACTTAGTTCCTCTTCCCAGAAACTAACATGGTTCTGCATAAAAATTGTTTCAGTGGAACATATAGCTTATGCTAAATATTTTCTTCCATTATGGCTTACTTCGTACTTGAAGCAAACTTGAATTTGTAGTAAGTTAAGATTGTAATTCTAGGAATAGTTATTCATGTTCCCTCTGTTGTATGATAATTCAGCACCTGCCTATGTTAAGGGCTACTGCTAACAGAGCAGAATTAAGGAAAATGCATATGGTGAGTTGAGTATGTCTGATACCATACCCCCTCACCATTTATCCTTATTTGGAAAGCAACCTTGAAAAGCCTCTATACTGGGAACAGGTAAGTGGGGCTCAACTAGCTATTTCCTGGTATTAGACAATATCTTAAATCTTAAGTTGTAGTATAACGTTGCTTTACAACTTCTATTTCCTCTTTTAAGATCTTGAATGGTGGCACTCCGGACATTCCTTCAGCGGGGTTACTGTCTGGGCAGATGCAAGATAACTCTGGTTACCCATATTCTGACAGCTCCTCTATTCTTGGTAAGAAAGTACACAGAATAACTTAAATCAATAACAACTAAACCCATGACAACCGTGGAGATGATTGTAACAAGACGATTGCTTTTAGCACTAGCTTTCTTTTACCATCTGTCTCACTTGAACAATAAAAGCTCATAACTCAGCACTTTTAAATTTGTCTAAAAGGGTGGCTACAAGAGTAGCCTGACAATCTATTTGTCCAAGTTGCTTTATATTGTCATTTTAAAAAATAGTGCTTGCAAGCCTGTTTTCTCTTGCTGAATAGGAGTGCATGAGGTGAACTCCTCCCCTACTTCTCATGAATGCTTTTAAATAGCAAAAGACAATAAGAAAGGCTAAGTTGACTTCTGTGTATTAATCTAGATTTCTCTTGGAGTAGAGTGCATCTATATCAGGTATACTGGTCACTTAACCTTTGTACTTATTAACTCCCAAGTTAACAGTATCACTGAAACTGTGACCAGCTGGCCCTCAAACATACTGATACCTACAGAATAGTTCTACCTGTTCTATTCCATGTCATGCAGCAAGTGACCATTGCAACTAAAGTCATGAAATAAATCTGGACTTGTGACAACTTACTGAGTATCTGCTTACAGGGGAGAACTCTCACATAGGCATCGATATGATTGACAACGATCAAGGATCCAGCAGCCCCAGCAATGATGAAGCAGCGATGGCTGTAATAATGAGCCTTCTTGAAGCAGATGCAGGTCTTGGGGGCCCTGTGGATTTCAGTGATTTGCCATGGCCCTTGTAAATGATGCACCTTGCTTCAACATCCAAACATCAAAGTGCATTTATTGGTGGAGTTCTGCAGTCTGTGAAACTTGTTGGATGGAGAAGCTTTTATGTACGAGTTTCATAAAAGCCATATCGGAACGCAACTCATCCTACCATGTGTAACGTCAGACAACGTGGAATAACCCGCTACAGTGTTTGTGTGGATCTGGTTAGCTGTGTATAGCTTGCATTACTTGTATATTTTGGATTCTGTTGTTTGAATTTTTTTAAAATCACTGTGCAACTCACTGGCATCAGTGGTAGCTTTTATATGCAAATGACCATTTCAGATGTATGGTGTGTTTTTACACTGCAAAACAGTCCCCATGTGGATATTTCTTATACTAATTGTACCATAAAGCTGTTTATTCTTTCTTGTAAGAATTCCTTTACTATAAATATTGTTAAAGTGTAATGTATTAGTTAAATATTTTTAAAATAAATGTTTCCCTTGTTCTAAAATGGAGCATTTACTTTGATAAATAAATTTGATAAAACCCTGCTGAAGGTGCATGCTAGAAGTAGTTGCCTATTTATATATTTTTTTTCTTTTTTTCTTTCTTTGGGAAAAAAGGGTAGAAAAACACTGCCTTATTTTACCAACTGCATTTGGTCAGAGTATTTTTCTAGAGAAGCTACTACTTAGTTTCTGCACTTAAGCTACAAAAAAAATGCAACAGAAAGGCTAGTTAAGGTAGTCTGGTAGTGCCACAGATTTTTTAATATTAAGCAATACTTGTTTTCCACCCAAAATATTAAATAACAATCTAAGTGTTCTCCAACCACCATAAGAAAAGCAAAGCAGCTACTTTCAAAATTCATCATATTCTTAATCTTATTCACAGATACTTCAAACTAATTAAAATAATGGAAATTTTATTTGAATGAAAAACTTGTTTACAATCATTAATAAATGAAGAATGTACCTCTTGTATCTTCCTATTTCATGACACTTATGAAAAATTTAGTAAATAAATATTTGTGAACAGATTAAGGTAAGGCAAATTTTAAGATAAAGCCCCTATCCATTGTTCACAACTTTTGAACATGGCTCACGCTGCAAACAAGTGAAAAAATTCACTGAAGAACTTTGAGTTTAACAAGATGTTAAATGGGTCATTGAATCATGTCCTCAATCCAAAAACCCAGTAATAGTATTTTTGTGCTCAACCATATACAATAACTTTAAAAGGGTCGATCTAGTCAGAGCAAAACTATTTACAGTTAACACTTTTGATAGAAGCACTTTGTTAGTATTGTGCAATACATTATAAAAAATGGCTTGAAATTCCATTTATCAACCATTTATAAAGTGCTACTATCAGTTCCAATCTGCATTCTAGCCCACGTGTAACAATATCAAATGCACACTAGCCACAAACACCCTCTGCTTCTGATGGGCTTAGGGTGAGGACAGTCCAGCATACAAACAACCAATGTCACAAACCTATTGGTAAACAAATACATGTATGTAACTGTAACCGCAGGATGCTCTTCTCTGTACTCTTAGAAAACAATCAGATACTCCCTTTGGTCTTTTAAAAGGTCCATACTGCAATATCCTAAACACTGTTACACAATGGAGAAGACTGGAATTGCAGTGTAGTATGAGTCGAGTACAGAGTCATTTTAAGTAGCATGCTTTAGTTTTAATACAAGGCTACATCAGAGTGCTGGGTTCTGTCCCTCAGTATCCATCTCACTGTTACTAGGTGGAGGATGAATAGGCAGAATATCCAACTCATCTACTTGGGGGGTAGGATGCATTACCACAAGCTGGTCCTGGGGTATATCTGCTGCTGCTGCTGCCAAATTTGTAATAGATTTACTTTTCACACACTGAAAGTCAACATGCCGACTCTTTCCTTCCTCCTTCTCCCAAGACATCCGAATAAATGGCCTTTGGACATAGTTGTAAATCACCTCTGGCCTTCCACCTGGGCGCTTCTTCACTTTCTCTTTGTACGTAGGGTAACCTAAGAAACATCAGATAATAGCAAAAGTTAACCTCTCCTGTACCCCTCTTTTACAGAAAAGCAATGTGTGAAGGCGTGGTGAGGATTAGTGCTTGCCACCATCAGAACCCTGAATGGAGCCAGGCACCACTGTGCTCTATTCAGTCTTAGCTGAAGGAGGCAAATCCAGTGTCAAACATTTTCACTACCAGCTGAAGTACAAAGAAAGAGGTTACAAGCTCATTGAGAATGAAGATGCTTTTAGCCTATAGCTTAGTGAGAAACATCTTGTACACCAGCCACAAGCCTGAAAGTTCCAGTGGGACTAGTTGTCTCCTGGGTGCCATTCATATCATCTAGCCTCATTATGATGGTATCAATCCAGCTTTCTTTAGCTTGGAAGCTAATCATAAAACAGGGAAGTGAAACAGAGCCTTTTCCAAAGTCAATTTATAAGTAAAGTTCTTCATACCTTCAATGCCCAGTCGGATCTTCTTGAGCCCCCTTTCCTTCAGGACCGATTTGGCCACATCTCGATTCTCAATGTATTTGAAGAATCTATACAACTTTGTGCTGTAAATAACTAAAAATACATTTTAATGAGAAAAATTGTATTCAAAGGTTAAACTTCTAGTCTTACACAGAAAGATCTTATGATCATGTTTATAGTGTTTCGCTTTAATCAAGTATTTTTTATACAAAGATGGACTGACTTAAGAACCTTTCCATATCTAAGACAGAAGTCAGAGAAATGGCTGAAGGCCCTGGGAAGCTGGGCGGCTGCACAGGGCGGGGTGTTTTTGTTGTTGTTTTTTGTTTGTTTGTTTTTGTATTTTTTTTCCAAACAGTCTCGTCTGCTTTGTACACTTACTTAGATTTTTGAACAATTTAGAATGTAACAGAACACTTCACAGAGCAAACCATGTGAAATACCCCTAACTCAGCCACACACACACACATACACACAGAGCTCAACAACCTCCCCAGCAGCAATTCAGAGGCCTCTCCATTCTGCCTGCCACTACATAAGAGATATCTGAGTTCTGGACAAATCAGTTTCAGAAACTCCAGGCACATGAAGCAGAACAAGAGGGAGTCCAATAAAATTAGTTTATATATAGCATTTGAAAGGAAGGGATGTGGGCCATTAATCTTGTATGAAAAGTATTAAAAAGGCAAGTATGTGCCTGGCTAATTACAGAGGGCATGAGGAATTTTTAAGTCACACTTGAGACACGAAGGGCTGAGAAACCTGAGCCAGCTGTGTTACTATGTTAAAAGAGCCATTTGTATTTGCACCTACTCTCCCCTCAGAGGAGATGCTGCATAACTGTAGGTTAGGATCTTCCAAAAGTCTAGCAGAACTTCCCCATCCATGAAACTTATTTTAAGAGGATTTTAAGCTACTGTACAAGGGGCATCTTGAGCTCCCATTTGACACCTCAAAATCCTAAAATTCAAGTTTTCACATTGGAGAGACATTTCTAGCTACAAGGACAATGTACATGCAGAGAAGGGCTCTCCATTAACAGGTGCTTTAACCCATCTACAGAGCAAAGCTGCTACTTCCAAAACACGAGCAGAAGCTCACTTGGTGTTTCAAAACACTAGTTGCTCCCCATGGTACAACAAACAAGACTCCAATCCAGCTTTTCTTGTCAAGCTCTTTCTGAACTTATTTCTTTCCTCTCCTCTGCCATTGACTAACAATGCCTTAAAAAAAAAAAAAAGATTAATTCCTCCTTCTGACCTAAACTTGAAGGTAACATGTGCTTACATGAAGCAAAATGTTATGCAACCTTCCAAAACTAAGTGTTTGTGAAGCAAGAGGGCTGTCATAAGGACTTTACTAACAGTGCTCGTGAATGAGCTAAAGCAGTTTGTCTACTACCACCATCTTTGCTACAGTGTGACTCAGTAAAAACTACCAAAACAACCTTACTTTGTGAATATTCCTCTCCCATTTGCGGGGGATATTCTTCATCCCAGTCCACCACATCATCATCTGTCAGCACAACAATATGGCATTCTCGTTCACCACTTTGAGCACTGGCTACCATTAATGGGAGAATCATTTCTTCCAGGTAGAACTCAAATTGTTTGCGAGCACCATCATTTGACAACTCATGCATGAGAGCACCTGAAACACAGGTTAGACACGTAAGCACATTTGAAAATTCAGTAAAAAAATGAAAGCAAAAGAACATAGGAGTTCTGGTTTTCTATTATTTACTGCGGCCGACTGAAAATACATTTTAGTTTGTTTACATAAGATCAGAAATTTTTCAGATGTTTACCAGAATCACCTCAGCAGTTCAGACTGATAGGGCTGTCCTGTAAGTGCTAGAATTCTCTTGAGCAGACAGTGCAGTGCTTCCAGGAGCACTGAGTAGATCTCCTGAGTGTTTTACCACTGTTAAACATTTGGTAACTGCATGCAAGACTCTCTCAAGCTTCCTAAAGGAAAGCAGCAGCTTAAAAACAGAGAGACCTTCAGTACGAGCTGCCAAAGCCTCCTGCAAAGGACAAAGTGCATGGAGAGCGTGACTCAGCACTACGAGGCGACAGCACATCACAGCCCCCTGGGCAGAGGACGCGCCGGTCGCTGCACGGAGCTCACGGCTGGAATTGCACAGACCGCCTTGCTAGGCGGGCACTGCACTGGCCTGCGCAAAGTCACGACACAACAGGATCTAAGGACAGGCCAGGTCAGTTCAAAATTTCAGCAAGTCTTCGGCTGTGTTCAGGGAACAAAAGTGTTGGAAAGATGCTAACCACTTGGAAGTGATGTACCAACACAGCTGTACTTTTGCTAGCAATATAACTTAATTTTCTTAGCAAAGAGTAGAATAAATTATCCTCTCCCTCCTCTGCAAAAACACTGTTTAGTGTTCATGATACTACAAATACATCAATAGATTTTAAGTATTCCTCAGAGCTGAGTACAGCAGAAAAACGCATGTTCCCTCTGTTTCATTTCATTATCTCAAACACTGTATCATTCTCGTACTTCAAAAAAAAAATCCATACTTACTGAGGTCTCTGCATTTAATAGTACTATATTCAAAGGAGATACAGAGATAGTCGCACGCTTCTCTCAGCTCAGGAATAGATATCCCATCAGGGCAGCGTATCACTCCAGTCTTGTAGTAATCCTGTAGCAATGCCATAAACAAGAAGCTCAATGCACTCGGGAATATTCACTGACAAACAATTGAACATTTGTAAGGCTCTCCACAGTCATCCCCCAGCCAACTTTAACAGCAAGCAAAACGCATGTTAAACTTTGTGAATATTACTGTCTTCAACAGTGATCCAATTTCCAATATAGCTGCTTTTGGAGCAGTTCCAGTTAAAACTCCAGTTAAAATTACTATTTAAATGACAACTATTAGTATCGAACATTTTTCTGCATGTGTATTATCTTTTATCTATACACCATCCATTTTTTTTTGGTATTCTGGTTCTGTCAAAGTAGTATAACACCTCTATATCTTTCTGCATATGGAATGTGTAAGGGGACAGGCTGAAATTCACAATATTCTGCGGTTTCATTTCACACATAC